CATAATAGATCTAAAAACACTATAACTCACTCTCTTGTACATATCTGTTGACCCAGAGTCTGGACCCCCTTCCTATGCAAGGACCTGAACTGGGGGTTCAAGCAGATGACCTGGACCTGGGAGAACCAGAGCAGGAAGAGAAACAGGAAGTTCTTGAAAATAAAGATGTGAGATGGGTTTTATGTGATTGATCTATCCACTGCTTGTACATGCATAAATGTGATTTTGTATTAGGCATATTGTTTTTTTTTCATATGTATTTTAATTGTTTAGGTTGTAGTACAGCATGTGCACATCGATGGTCTTGGAAGAACAAAGGAAGACATTTTAACATATGAGGTTGCAGATGTTTTCCGTGCCAAAAACTTGATTGATGTGAGTATCACTTTATATAGATGCTGCTAATAGATAAAAATACGCTATTAAATTATATTGCATACTTTCATTTTTACTTAACTTATTTATAACTCCTTAATAATTATGTTACAGTTAATGAAGAAGTCCCATGAGGCCAGACAGAAACTTTTGCGTCTGGGTATATTCAGACATGTGGACGTTGTCATTGACACCGCTGAAGGTATGACTGCTGAATTATGCAAACAACCAATCGTAAATAACCAATAATCTAAGTGATGCATCGAAGTCTGAAATCCTCTCAAAACAGGTGTTGACGCACTGCCAAATGGACTCGATGTGACATTCGAGGTAAAGGAGCTGAGAAGAATGACAGGAAGTTACAATACCATGGTTGGGAACAACGAGGGAAGCATGGTGAGCTACTGACTCCTGCATCGTCACTGTTGGCTGTGTGTCTACAAGAAACCAAAATGATTTACAAAATTGTTGTTCTGGTTCTTATTTCAGGTGCTGGGTCTGAAATTGCCCAATGTTTTTGGCCGTGCAGAGAAGCTGACCTTCCAGTTCTCTTATGGGACTAAGGAAACCTCATATGGCCTGTCATTTTTCAAGCCCCAGCCTGGACACTTTGAGCGCAAGTATGTTTCTTGGCCTGTTAATGCAGATTTCTATTTAAAAATTACATTTTGATTAGTTAGAAATAATGACTGAATTTTTGAATATACAGTATAGCTCTGATTACTAGATTTATAATAATCATGTTTCAGTGGTTGTTTTGTGAATTTTGTGAACCAGTTTTCCTAGGTTTGCTGTTGACACTTACTCATTCTTTCAGCTTCTCCATTAACTTATATAAGGTCACAGGGCAGTTCCCATGGAGCTCACTCAGAGAAACAGATCGAGGGGTCTCCACAGAGTTCAGTGTAAGGGATTTATTTATTTATTTATTTTTACAATTTCATTTTAATTTAATTGAATAATTTAATTAAGAAAAAAATTTTAACAAACCAAATATTATTTTATGTCATAAATAAGGTTTTAGTAGATAAAGTCAAAAGCTTTAGTATATGTGTAAGATACTATCTAATTTAAATGAGAATTATCTAATTTGTTTGTCCATTGTTTTGTCTGTAATCACCAGTTCCCCATCTGGAGGACCAATCACACTTTGAAGTGGGAGGGTGTGTGGAGAGAGCTGGGTTGTTTGGCCCGTACGGCCTCCTTCTCTGTCAGGGAGGAGAGTGGCCATTCCCTGAAATCCTCACTTTCCGTATGTTTCTTCTCTGAAACTTGTTATTACACTCATTGATATATTTGAGGTTTTAAGTATATATGATGTTTTCCTCACAGCACACAATGGTCATCGACACACGCAATTCTACCATTCTTCCAAGAAAAGGTGCCTTACTGAAGATCAACCAGGTTTGTTTGAATCAGTTGTTGTCCTTTTAAGAAATCGTTTATCCAATACTGTCATTATTAACTTAATTTTTATGGTCTGTTAGGAACTGGCAGGTTACACTGGAGGAGATGTCAGTTTCCTGAAGGAAGACTTTGAAATTCAGCTCAACAAGACTCTGTTCTGGGACTC